CTGCTGCCTCCAGCTTGGCCGTCTTCTTGTTTGGACCCAGGCCTTGACATGTCCTCTGGTCACGCTGACCTCCATACAGAACTCGGACGCACGGTAGCCACGGTGTTGGTAGCCGACCACCCTATACTCGGCAGGCCTCTGCTTCCGCACCATCAGGATCACTGCCAGGGCACTGATGGGGTCTTTCTTGTAGAAGAAGTAGACCCGCTGTGAGGGGTCCACCAGGTCCATGTGGGGTTTGGACCAGTAAGGAGTCACGTCCTCTGGCAAAGGACTCTTCCTCAGCTGATGCAAAACCACCTTAGCTGCACCTAGCTTGGCGTTTTGTTTGGTGGGGCCTGAACCAAATCCCACCAGGTCCCCTACTCTCAGCTGTATGTGGAAAGTCGGTGCATGGCAAGGGCCTTCTTTTCCCATCTCATTAAACTGCAGCTGCAGGTGGTGCATTAATGCCAGTTCATACAGGAGGGACAGGTCGGTCTTGTGGACTTCGCTGGGGTGTTGCATGTTGTCTGTGTTTGTGTTTGCTTCGATTTCTATAATGTGCTAAAATAATACAGTGTTGTTGGACAGATATTCACTAGGCCTGTTTACATCTTCCTTTTAAAGCAGACATTCTAGAATGACTCCATAAAGACAAGCTGGGTTGCCATGACAACATAGCAAGGGATGTTGTCACGACGACGTGACGGTATGCGCACAGAGGGACTTCTCTTTGAAAATGTCCTGTTGTTTTTATCCTGTATAATTTTAAATCACACGGTTGTTTCTGTAATAAACTAATAATAATGTTTATTTTGTCGCCAGTGCGTGACTTGAGAACTCTGCCGCCGCTGGAGCTCTCGCAGAGCAGTCTGTGTGCAGGACATTCACGTGAGCGCCCCCTGCAGGTTCTGCTGTGACATTCAACAGTCAGAGGTCTGGACGAACATCACGTTTCATTGATTTCATCCGAGTCTTGACAAATGAGCAAAGTATCATCAACAAAAGAGTGTAATGTGGATCTGAGTCACACTTCCTGAAGAGTCATGTCCTGTAAAGACTGTTCAAACAAATCGGATGCTTTATGTTCTTCATGAAAAAATTCCCAAAATCAGAGTAAGGCAGTCAAAGTCCAGATAGATTCAGTCCCACTTCTCCATCTCCCTGATTCTTTCTCAGTAATAGTACATCATCCACGTTGGCTTCTTGTCATTATACTATAGTCAGAAGTCCTTTTACCTGCTTTTATTACTACAGAATTACATCTATTCCATATTCTACACATGCTACGACATTCCACAAACCTCCTCACCTGCTGCTACTATTACTATTGTTTATTCTGGTCATATTCTCTGCTGCTAAAGTACTAAATAAACATCTGTAAATACATCATGGTGCTGGTGACTACAGTGTATACTCTGCAAGACACTTATAAGATGAGATAAGATAAGATAAGAAATCCTTTATTCGTCCCACAGTGGGGAAACTTCGATGTTGCAGCGCACATATAGGACAGTAGTAAGAGCACACAGGGAGCACACACAATATATACAAATAAGTATCAGCTATGTTTCTTAGCTTGAACCAAGTGCAAATATAGCTCCAGAGTTTATCCTTTTCTATCTTTTTTATCCTTTTTTATCCTTTTCTAAAATGTTTTGGTGTTATCAAAAACCAGAGTACCCGGAGAAAATCTACGGACAGAACACTCTGAAAGGTCCCTTCTGGCTGAAAGTCACTCACTACTCCAGTATGTTCTTAAGTTGAGTCAATATTTTGGCTATTTTACCCACATCTGGGAATGTATTTAAGTTTGTGTCAAAATTGGTGAAATGTGAAGTCAAGTGTGTGTGTGTTAAAAGTGTGTTAAGGTAGTTCCGTGCACGACCATAGGGGGCGTAACAAGCTTTTTGGGACGGAGTGATTCAGCATTTCCGACATTTTCACTGTTTGTAGACATTTTTGGACATGCTTGATTTTTGGTGTGCAGCTTGTTTTGGGCCTCTACAACGCTGTAGTATGCATGAAAAATGGGGACTTGAAAAAAGTCAGCATATTTTCTCAGGTCCTGATTGAAGGTGTGTTATCATACAAAAGTCCTCATATGTCCACAAAACAAACACGCACACACACACACACACACAGAATGGTGTAATACTTTAATGGGTGAGAAACCTTCCTTGGCTTTGACTATAAGAAACGTTTCACAACTTCAAGCTTGGGCATTGCTCAGAATTCCACTGATCCACTGACATTTGCTATTTGTTACTTACTTACTAAGTAAAAAGTAAAAAATTGCTTTCATTGGAAATTCTTTGTTCGTGGCAATATTCCTTCTCACATTTTGTCTAGATCGCACAGATGGGACTTTGACACAGTCTCTCTATTGCGGGATCAAAGAAATTTCAACACACAACACAAAACAAAAGTGCATGAAATCAATCTCTAATCTGGAAAAGCTCTATTAAATTCTGGCTAAACAACGAGATAGTAATTTGCAGTACAGTATATCATTCCCAATGGAAAATCCACCACCAAACCACTGCTCCTGATTAGTCACCAATCGCGACATTGGAGTCAAAAACAAAACCTTACCAATAAACTTGGCAGGCACATTGTTCGGCTAGAAACACTGCAGACGGCAATATTACACCAATCTGGATGTGCAGCTGTCTTACTACCACCTTTGTCTGCGGTCTACACCCACCTGTTGTCACCTCCTGATCTGTGCATCACTACTCAACTCCAAAAGACAGCGCTTCTAATAAAACCTGCCGCCACGACTTTTCTTCAGAAAGTTTGTACTTCTAGGAAATATCACACAATGACCCAACATTTTGAAAGTGATTTGTGGGTGTAGCTCAAAGAGTAAAAGTGGCTTCTCCGCAGTCAAAGTTAAAATCAATCTGATTTAATAGGGACAATGGGGTCTATTCTGTGGACAACACAGGGAGCCGTAGAGCTATAATTGGCCTGTCTGCATTCAACCATAGAAAGCAGGAGCCTGTACAAACAAAGAATAAAAACCCACTAGCCTCCAGATACAGTTCAATTCGTCTCTTCTTAAAAAAGGGGGGGAAATTCTGGCAGCATCCAGGCTTGATCACATTTTCTTGAGCATAAACACTGTTTCTAATGACGCTATGTCCCCACTGGCTGACAGAGATGTTTTGTCAAGCAATAAAGTTGTGACATTTCGAAATTAGAGTAAGGCTCACAATTAAATCTTACAGTGGGATTACAGCTCCTTGTTCATGACCCAAATGCACAAAGCTGGCTGAGAACTGAGTGTTCATCCCAAAATGACGCTCTTAATTCGTTGTTAATTTGATCGTATTTTCTTTCCTTAAACAAATCAGCATATGTCACAGCAGTTATTTTACAGGATTATTTCCTTTGAGAAAGTGATTGGTCATTGATGCATACTTCTTTAATTCACAGTATAAAGAAAGATTCTGAGAAAGATTGTTAAGATCCTGTTATATCATTGTGTTTAATTTTTAAAAGTTCTCCTGTGGTGTGATATATGCAAATTGGGATAAAATTGTCATACTGAGGAAACTCAAATTACACTTTTGTGCTGGAAGTCCTGAAGTATGTGTATGTGATCAAAGAGGGACTGTGAATATCTAATAATTGTCTTCTTGCTGATAATGTCATGTTGAGTTCAGTAGAGACATAACACTTGTACTTTGACCTGCTTACAGAAGCATGGAAACAGATAAGACAGAGCAAACAGTTAACATGTGCCGTATGGATAATGTTGTCGCATGCACATTGGAGTTTGGTCATTACATAAACATGCTTATATCATCTTCGGCCAACTCAACTGAACATTGACCATACGCTTGCTTCTCACATAGTCATGCTTCTCAGAATCTATGCTTACATAATCATTTACAATGTATATAAGGGGTTAGCCTTTGCCTGCCCACTAGACTTCTGCCGGCCAGACAGGATGGGAGGCTGCGTTATGCTTGATCAGAATACGCTCAAACCTTCTGACAATAAAGACTTTATTTTGCACTTTTGTCGAAGCCTCTATTTGTCTTATGTCTGGGTATATTCACAAGTATTTACATGAACAAATTTACAAAATATTTACAGATTGTTTATCATCATCATAATGACACCATGATGTTTCTATACAGTCTATGGTCTATACCCACACATACACACACACACCCACACAAATGTGTGACTAATTTGCGATTAATCGCGAGTTAACTATGAAATTCATGCGATTAATTGCGATTAAATATTTTAATTGTTGGACAGCACTAGTTTTTATACATGATACTGCATCAAATCAGCCAAAGCAGTAGAGGTACTAATGGAAGATTACTGTATATGATATAGCAGAGGAAGTTGAATTATACTTATACTTTTTGTGTGGATAATTGTTTTCATTATTTTCCTTTATAGACAATTTTAATGTCTTTCACCTGTGTTCACAATTCTCTGTTTAAGTGACTGGGAATACTGTACATTGTTACATGCTGTGTCATGATGAATGTGTCCATTAGTTAGAATAAATAACCAATAACCCGATAACCACCCTGAAGACAAAGGCTCTGTTATTTTTTTTACAATCTGATGAAAAAGGATTCTTTCTCCCGTTAAATGTAGACGTACAGGAACAAAAAATGGCTTTCATTTACCATTTCCACGTATTGAGCCAGATTTAATCAATTGTGTGTATCCCCTGCGTGCGTGCCACCCGATCTTCTTGCCACAAGTGGGGTTATTGAATTCCCCATGTAACTGCTTTGATTAACTGCAAACCGGTGTGACGTGGTTGGATATTAGTTTCGGATGTCGGCCACCATCCCACAATCGGTTGATGGGAATGTGACCAATTAACCCAACGGTGTGCAGTGTCATTCATTTAAAGAGCTACTCCAGAAATATGTTTTGGGCGTTTACAATAGATCTGTAATGTGAGTGATTCAAAACATGTTGTAAAATCAGTTCTCTATCGTTTTGAGACTATCGCTCCACCCAGTTACATATTTCATATGTACGGGGGGGGGGGGGGGGGGGGACTGACCCCACGCGGGTCAGGTGACATGGATAATTCTTTAAGACACACCACCTGTGAGATGGCTGATTGCGCTACAAAAGCACCCGTGTGCCCAGCGCACCTTGATCATTTTGATTCCACGTTGGCAGGTGGACGAACGACGGAAGAAAATCGAACAAACAAACAAACAAATACTACAATTGAAGACTGTTTTTTTGCCACTTACTTGGTAAGAGGGAGGAATACCTCTCGGGGTGACTGTCTTCAGTGTTAGGAAAGATCCGGTGTCTGGCGTATTGCCCTGACAAGGGGTTTACACGCCACAGACACGAGGACTTGCTGAACCCGTGGGGGGAACGCGGTCTTCTGGATCCACGGTCCTCTTCGCCTGACGCATTGCTCCGTGCGGGGTTTACGCGTCACAGGCAGGAGTTGGCAGCGGTGAAACCTGGTGCGGGGGAAGCCGCTGTCTGTGGTTTCAGACTCGTGCGGGTCTGGCAAGTGAAACATAAACAAGCAGTGCTCGCGTTCTCGCGAGACTTCGCAATGTCACACACGTGTGAAGACTGCGGGGTGCAAATGCCCATTGAGGATGGGCATATGAAGTGCGTTTTAGGTTTGGGAGAGGATCATGCCTCTGCGGCCAGGGAAGACCCGTCCTCTTGCATGAACTGCTTTATTATACCCAGGCCGTCACTCGAGGCTCGTTGTTGTCTGTTTAGGGGCAAGAAACGGAAAGCCTCTGTTACTGAGCTGAGCCAGGAAAAACGTGACAGAGGGTTGGGAACTAGGTCAAAGACTCCCATGATTGGGCCTCCACTTACAATTACTGTGCATGACACCTCTGAGCCTCATGAGCAGGAGGACGTGAGTGATGTGGATGTGGAGTGTTTTTCAGACAGTGATTTGGCACCTGACCAGGAGGGCACGGCATCTGTAGGTGAGGACAGGGAGCCTAATAGTGCATTGCTGCAGTTTAAAGGGCTAATTGAGAGAGCAACTCAGGCCCTTGGTGTGGAGTCTAGAGCTGTAAATGCACCCACCCCCTCACGGTTTGACAGTGGTTGTGGGCAACCATATGGATCTTTTCGGTTCCACTTCTTTCAGATGTGGAGGAGCTAATCCAGGCTGGGTTTACCAGACCAACAGATGCATTTAAAACTTCTGTTAGCTGCAGACGGCTGTCTGCCATGCAGGATTGTGAGAAGATTGGCTGTGCCACTCTTCCTCAGGTGGACCAGTCAATTGCAGCCCTAATTTCTCCGTCCAGTTCTGGGCTGGGGAAAACTACATGTCCCTCCAGAGGTAGTAGAATGGTGGATGCACTTTTGGCTAAGGTGCATAGGACCATTGCTGTTCAAACACAGCTAGCCAATACTATGTCTATACTGACCTTGTATAATCGTCAGCTTACATATGAGTTGGAGGGGGGACAGGGTTCAGAGCGGCGGTTCACCACTGCAGCCGGAGGATCAAAGTGGCTTGATGAAACTCCCGGTTGACCCTCAGGCCATGTTTGGTCCTGGTGCCATGAGTATGTTACAGCAGGCCCAGGAGGCACGCAGATGTGCGCGGGAAGTGTCTGGGGTGGTTGTGCGGCGGCGCAAGTGGCAGAGTGCAGGTTCCGCATCCAGGCCACCTACACAAACCGGTCAGCAGCAAAACTGGGGCTCACGGGACTTACGTACCACCATTGAGGCCCAGCGGCGACGGTGCAGGGGCAAAGGGGGGCCATCAGGTTCTGGGTTTCAGGCTAAGGGCCGACCCAAGCCTCCGCCTCAGTCCTGACGCCAGGATGGACCCAGCGTGTTTCCCCGACATCGAGACACGCCGGACTGCCTGGATGGCCATGGGTGCGTCCCCATGGGTCGTGTCTACCATGACGCAGGGGTACCGTATCCAGTTTTTACGGAAGCCTCCCACCTCAGTGTCCCCTTTGGTGGTCACTCAGGTGCATTCCGAACACAGGGCAGTACTCCTGTCGGAGATTTCTACCCTGTTGGAGAAGAAGGCAATCAGAGTAGTGCCACCAGGCGACAGACAGGCTGGGTTTTATTCCCGGTATTTTTTGATTCCCAAAAAGGACGGCAAGCTCCGCCCCATTCTCGACCTGAGAGGACTGAACCGGTTCATTCGTCCTCTGCGGTGCAAAATGTTGACAGTCTCCAGGGGGGCCCTGCAGGTATGAGACAGTTCATCTGCAGAGGGGATTGGTTTGTTACCATCGATCTGAAGGACGCCTATTTTCAGATTCCCATCTGGAAAGGCCACTGGCGTTTCCTCAGATTTGTCTTCAACGGCAAGGTGTACGAATTTCAGGTTCTTCCCTTTGGGATATCCCTGGCTCCTCGCACATTCACGAGGTGCATGGAAGCAGTGCTCTCACCTCTCAGACAGGAAGGCATCAGAATTCTGAACTACTTGGACGACTGGCTCCTGTGTGCGGGGACACAGCAGGAGTGTCGGGCTCACTTGTCTCTGCTGTTGGAACACCTGCGTCAATTGGGGCTTCGTCTCAACTACGAGAAAAGCCATCTCGTACCGTCTCAAGAGACGCACTTTCTAGGCCTAGTCTTGAATTCTCAGGCAGCAAGTCTCACACTATCACAGGCGAGACTGATGTCCTTCGAGAGTTGTCTCTCGCAGTTCAGACTGGGGGCCAGAGTCACATGGCGGCAGTGTCTCCGCCTCATGGGGCTTATGGCGTCCATGTCACAGGCAGTCCCTTTGGCGCTGCTGAACATGCGCCCAGTCCAACGGTATCTTCTGGGTCTGGGTCTGGATCCTCAGAGACACCTACACGTGTCAGTACTGGTCACCAGGCGTTTTCTATTGACCCTTCGTTGGTGGCGTTGCGCAGAAAATGTGAACAAGGGGCTCACTCTCGGGCCAGTGATTCATCGTCATCTTGTGGCGACGGATGCATCACTGACGGGATGGGGAGCTGTGTACAGAGGCAATGGGGTCAGCGGACACTGGCGGGGTGCCTACACAACACAACACATCAATGTCCTGGAGCTGCGGGCGATATATCTAGCCCTTCGACACTTCCTTCCTCACATACAGGGGCAACATGTCCTGGTGAGGACAGACAGTGTGGCAGCAGCCTCGTATGTGAACAGACAGGGCGGGTTGGGCTCAGTCTGCCTGTGCAAGATCGCACATCAACTGTGGCTGTGGGCTCAACCCAAGTTCCTGTCGCTGCGGGCGGTGCATGTGCCAGGATTGGACAATGTGGCCGCGGATCTGCTCTCCAGGGGAGGGCCGGATCCAGGCAGCTGGAGGCTACACCCTCAGGTGGTGTGGGCCATTTGGGGCCGTTACGGGCAGGCGTCAGTTGATCTATTTGCGTCTCGCCAGAACGCCCACTGTCCCCTGTTTTTCTCTTTGGGGAGGGACAATCCTCCGCTCGGGGTAGATGCAATGTCTCACCCGTGGCCTCACGGTCTACTTTATGCTTTTCCGCCATTCGGTCTCCTCCCGTCTCTCTTGCAGAGGGTGCGGGTGGAGGAAGTGAGAGTAGTCCTGGTGGCTCCCCTGTGGCCTCACATGACTTCTCGGACATCCCACGTCTCCTCAACGGGACTCCGTGGGAACTCCCAGTACGCCCGGACTTGCTGTCGCAGGGCCTGGGGGCTCTGTTTCATCCGTTTCCCCAGGGGCTGAGGCTCTGGGCCTGGCCCCTGAGAGGTCCGAGTTGCTAGCTATGGGACTTCCAGATTCTGTGGTGCAGACTTTGGAGGGTGCTCGGGCACCATCTACGCGTGCACTATACACGCATCGATGGAACTCCTTTGCTAAGTGGTGTGTGCAGCATGGGTTTGACCCTCTGGCATGTACAGCACCAGAGATTCTGCAGTTTTTGCAGTATCTTCTGGAGGCGGGCAGGTCACCATCCACATTAAGGGGAATGGTGGCTGCTATCAAGGCACAAAGGGTAGGCAGACACAGTTTACCTGAGGGTGTGTCCCACCTGGTCTCTAGGTTTCTCAAAGGGGCCCGACGGCATGGTGGCAGGTGTACAAGACCACCCCTTCCCTCCTGGGATTTGGAGTTGGTTTTGCAGGCCTTGGTGAAGCCTCCTTTTGAGCCTCTGGCTACAACGGACCTGAAGTGGGTGTTGTTGAAAACGGCCCTTTTGACGGCGTTGGCCTCTGCAAGAAGGGTGGGAGAGCTCCACGCTCTCTCGGTTCATCAGGACCTCTGTAGGTTTCTGCCTGAGGAGGCTGGTGTAGTTTTGCGACCGGACCCGATGTTTGTCCCTAAGGTTATCCTAGGTCGACACTCAGATTTGGCAATCTCGTTGAGGTCCCTGTTCTTCGTTCAGCAGGCAGGGGGTGAGCGGGAACGGTCGCTGGTGTGTCCAGTCAGGGCCCTGCAGGTCTACATGACTCGGACACGGGAGCACAGGACTGTGGATCAGCTTTTCGTTTGTTTTAAGCAAGGGAAGTTGGGCCAGCCCCTTTCTAAGGCTCGCCTGTCGCATTGGCTTGTAGATGCAATCCGTCAAGCATATGTGACTATGGGGGTTGAGTTTCCTGTGAATGTGAGGACACATTCTACACGGGGGATGGCAGCGTCCTGGGCTTTGTGGCGTGGCGCATCACTGGATGAGATCTGTGCTGCGGCCACGTGGTCAGCTCCTTCTACTTTTTCTCGGTTTTACCGGTTGGATTTAGCAACAGGCACGTCCTTTGGGGAACGTGTGCTGGGTGCCGCGCAACCCCAGTGAGGTTACCCATAACCTTGCGTCTTGCAGGTTGGGATGGGACACTGGGTTCTGGGCAACGATGTCCTGCGTTGGCAGAATGGGCTGCCCGTCTTTATTTTTCATGACAGTGGCCTGGCCTTTGCGTCTTGCAGGGCTGTGTCGCCTCGGTTGCGTCTTGCGCTGGGGCCAGTGTGTCACAACTTGCGTCTGGCAAGGTTGGCTTCTAATGTGTGTAGTTTACTGTGTCACTTGGGTGGTTTTTGTTCTAATTGGTGGCGGCAACGTCTCATTCGAAATACACCCTGCTCGATCCCCTTGCGGTGTGTCTTACAGAGTCCCCGTACATATGAAATATGTAACTGGGTGGAGAGATAGTCTCAATACGATAGAGAACGTTACGGTTACAGTATGTAACCATGTTCTCTGAGTGAAGAGACTATCTCTCCAGCTCGATTCCGCTCGGGGATCCGTTACATCAAAATTTGATCAAGGTGCGCTGGGCACACGGGTGCTTTTGTAGCGCAATCAGCCATCTCACAGGTGGTGTGTCTTAAAGAATTATCCATGTCACCTGACCCGCGTGGGGTCAGTCCCCCCCCCCCCCCCGTACATATGAAATATGTAACTGGGTGGAGAGATAGTCTCTTCACTCAGAGAACATGGTTACATACTGTAACCGTAACGATAACATGTGATTGTAATCAGGGTTTTACATTTAGTATCAACACAAATCTCCCAAGATTAAAAGCAGTGGTTCAAGCATGTAAATGTCAGGCATATTTTTGGTAGTTTCATTTTGGTTGTTGTAAAGACATGAATAAACATCATACAAGTCTTTAACCAAGATGGTAAAACAAACATTTATAGATGTTTATCAAATATCTCAATAAAGAATACTATTTGTAATACTTTTCGGCTTAGGGATGTTGCTTTCAGCTATAGGCAGTAACGTTGAGAAAGAAACCAAGGGTGAGTTTGGAACATCGAGGATCCCAGAAACAGTGTCAGTGTTTTCCATCTGCTACCCGTTTGAAGAATAGTACCATCTAAAAGAATGGAACCCCAGGAATATGAATATCAAATCAACAAAAATGTATCCGTTTAAGATTTGGTTGACTTTAATTAGAATATCCATGGAGGTGTATAGAAGCCTTATATGACAGTTTTATAGTAGCAGTAGATTGATGGCATATGACCCCCCAACCTGCAAAGCATCAGGTGGCTTGGTCTGCCATGGAGGCTTCCATCAAAAAACTACCTCAAAAACAATTGAATTTTATATTTTACATTTTATTTTGTAAACAGCATACCTTTTCACAATCGCTTCCAAAAGGGTGCATGGATTTAGCTAGCAAGTTTGTGTTGGCTGCTGCACACCCATAATACACATAGCCTCAAGGCCCAGTAACAAAATAAAACTATATCGAGTTTGGATTGAAAATAATAAACAGTTGTTATTGCATGTGGCTGAGATGTGATCAAAGCATCAGCCCCCGCCACACCTGCCCCTGCTGTGGTTTGACTGCTCTGAATGGAACCTTAAAGATGCACCTTATCAGCCCGGACAGAGGGGGACACACTTTAGAAAGCAAGATTGCCTTTTTTTTATTTGATGCATAAAACCCTGAGCTGAAACGAATGGATTTGGGACCTCACAAACGGCCGGTGCCTCCCCCATCGCCCACTCCCCCTGTACCCGTTTATTCATGCTGAGGTAAGCTGGAGGAATTCATTTGCTGTCAGCGAGTATTGAATTTAAGATTAGTTTTTATTTCAGACCCCAAACAGCTCCCTTTGCCCCGCTCTTAGGCACCGATGCTGAGTCTAGTGTTGTCTGATGAGCGTTTGCACACATCACCATCTGGCAGTGGGTGACAAATATGAGGGGCGCGCACACGTTTTCGTTAAAGTCTTTTTTATAATGACCTCCATCTTGGCCTGCAGTCAGCCACTGCTAAATCAGACCACTTTTTCATCACTGCTGCTTTCATTTCTCTGTCACAGCTGGACCTGTCGCCAGATGGATGTGTCCTATAGTTTGCCGTCATCTTTTCAGAATCTCAAATGCAGGCTTCAAGTGGGCCCTGGTTTTTGAAAATATTCTTTTCCCAGCTTCTTAACGCAAACAAATCAGATGTACAGAAAAAGAATGTTTGATTCATCGTTGAACATTAAATTGTAAATATGTACAAACCTCTGAAGCAGACTTTGTTAAATAAGTGTGTTAAATGATTTGATCAAATTTTTAATCTATATAAATATTAATCTATTTATTAATCTATATAAATATTAATCTATTTATTAATCTATATATACATAAATTTATATTTATATATATGTATATTTATATATATAAATCTATATATATTTATATATTAGGGCTGGGCGATATGGCAAAAAAAAAATCTCAGATCTTTTCACACCAAATCCGATTTTCAATTTTAATCGATAATTTTTTTCCTATTTAAAAACAAACTACAACTGACAAAGAAACAGATTTTACTTTATGCAGTTTAATCTTAATCCCATAAATCCAGCATAAGTGTAACAGGAAATAAGCCTTAAAACATGCTTGTAAACGAGATGCTGCTGCAATTGTAAACAGTGAAAATGTAGCTTATCAGTTTACTAAGAACTTCACTTACAGTGACACAATGCACCTTCAAAATAACTTAAAACGCACAAACGAGCATAGCAAATATATCAAATCGTATTAAACACATGCATTATTTACATTAATGCGGGGCTGGTGCTCTGTGGACTGGGTGCAGCTCTGGCCACCCCCCTGACCCAGAAATGGATTAAGGGGAAGAAAATGGATGGATGGATGGGTTATTTACATTAAATATCACATTTTTAAAACTAATGATTACTTTAAATATAATTGTCATCAGAGAAAGTCTTTTACAAAAGCCTCCTCCTTGGGTTTTCATGCTTGTTCTTTCAACCGTGCCAGAGCAACTGTGCTGTAGTACAACGCTCGGTCCAGCTGGTGGCGCTAATACTAACTTCAGTGACTACTGCGTTGTGCGA